ATGAAAGCAAATCGCTTATAACAATCTTGATTAGGACCCTCTGGAGAGGGTAATATACACTGAGGATTTATGCATAAAGGCGTATAGTTATAAGTCTGATGAGAGAACTTAATGTCAATTGCAAATCCATTCAAAAATGGAAATTGGTTAAAATAAATCCAGATTTATATTTGGAAATGATGTCTAACAAATATCATAAAGGAGAAGCAGATAAAAATATGCTCCTAAATATCAAAACTAGATTTGAAATACAGTTTCAAATCAAGATGTGATTTTTATGTAAATCACATTGTTGTAGTATCAGTTAAAATTGTAAACAAGACTCCATTCGTTTTTATTAAATAAAGGTAATGTTTTCAAAATGTAAACATAAGCAAGGCCTTATTGTGCAAATTTTTAAGTCACTGCTTACCTTTAAACATATGAGTAACCTCATTGATTTCAGCAGAGCTACATACTTTCTTAAATGGGTATATGTAAGCCTTTGCAAGATCAGGACCTAAAACAGCTTCCAAATACAAATCCGTAGAAAATTTTTTCTCTTCTACAGTAGCTTGGCAGTTTTTTATAAAAAACTACAGATTGCAATCCTAGCCCTAATCAAGTCAATGGTAGTTTTGGCATTCACTTCAATGGAGTCAGAGGTTCACCCATGATCTCTTAAAATGCATGAGATTAAACTACTGGAGAATTACAGACCAGTAAACATTATCTGTAGGGTGACCATCCGTCCCGTTTTTATAGGGACAGTCCTTTATTTAAGACCTCCTCCCAGCATCCCGACTTTTTTTTAAAAAACGGGCAGATTATCCCATATTTCCCCTGCAGCAGGGGAGAGGAGGGGGAAGCCACCAGTACTTAGGGCTTCAGCTGCTGAATCTCCAAGCACCAGCAGCACATCTCCCCTCCCCACCCTGCATGCTGTGGGGCTGAACTTCATCCCTGAAGGGTGGGCAGGGAGCCGCCAGAACTCAGAGCTTCAGCCTCTGGAGCCCCAAGTGCTGGTGGCTCCAGTCTTCCCCCACTATGGGGCTAAAACCCTGAGTGACAGAGACTCCCTTCCCTCCCCCACCCCACTGAAAGGCTGAAGCCCCAAGCACCAGCAGTTCCCCCACCCCACTGAAAGGCTGAAGCCCCGAGCACCAGCAGTTCCCCCCCCTTGATGTCCCGTATTTGGCATAGGGAAATATGGTCACCCTACTTATCTGTCCTTGGTAAATTGGTCAATTATATGTATAGGTATTTTATAATTCTACTTATTTTTTTTATGTAAGGTCTAAGGACAACAGATTCTACAAAGTAAATTTGTGCATCACTAATAGACTAATACTTTTTTGAATTAATCAGTAAAATAGCAGACATAGAAAAGCCAGTTGGTTTAATTTTTGTGGGCTTTCAAAAGGGCTTTCAGACAGTCCCTAACACGAGATTACTGAAAGAACAGAGCAGTTTTAGTTTGAGAAACAAAGTATTCTTATGGAAAAAATTCTGTGTAATAATCAGGAGGAAAAGAATAGGAATAAATGGTCTATTTTTTGCCCTGCCTGTGAACAAAAACAAAACTGTTTTAGT